CTCTCTCTCTCTCTCTCTCTCTCTCATAGTCTGTTCATACTGAGAAGTCAGGAAGGTGGAGGGTAAGGGAGAGATGGTGGACTGGAGGAAGAAGAAGAAGAAGAAGAACTCTCTTTCTCTCTTTCTCTCTGTGCCAGGTACTAACCTGTGAAAGGTGGCGCCTTGCTGCAGGTACACCGAAGACGAAGCTGGAGCGATGGCGTCACTGGTAAGTTCTCAGGTAAGTCCCTTGGCCTCCGCCACTCTCCTCCCTCCTAGCGCTAGCCTAAGGCCCTAGCAGCGCCCAGCGCTGGAAGACTACTCCTATCGTCGCCTACTATTGCTACCGCATCTCCAGAGAGTGCGGCTGCTGAATGCCTGAAGACTGAATGCCAGCCTCCTAGGCGGTTCAGCTATATATAGCGCTGGTCCGGCTGGGAGGCTGTCCTCGCCAATGCCAAACGGCTACAGTCCCTGGCGCCCAAAACTGTCTGGCACCTAAACGTTGGCGCCCAAATTCGAAACAGTCGAATTTGAAAAAGGCCTACAGCGGCCTGGGCGCCTACTGGACCTCTACCAGGGTCTGGCGCGAAACAGGCACCAGGGCCTACCTACTGGGCCTATCACGGCCAAACGACACGGGGCCTGAAAAAGGGCCCCCTCCTGCTCTGAACCGTCACAGGGCCCGAAAGGGGCCTACCGAACCTCTATCCTACCTGGTCGGGCCCTGCAGGGGCCCGTGCGGTACTCAGTATGCCACAACGGGGCACCTGGAATTTGGACCCCTCTTGCAGCAGAAGGCGGAACCAGAGGTAACTGATTCAGGATAGAAGAAGGGGTTAGAAAGTGGGCACAACCGACTTTGCGTAGGGGTAGGGGTTAGCACTAGGTGTAGAGTGCAACTTAGGTAGGAGAGGGAAGATACGGATTAGCAAGTAGGGGGGGTAGGGTAAGGCGTAGGCTTTGGAGTGGAAGGGAGGAAAACGGACCTGAAGCAAGGTATTAAGACCGGGGGAGAAGATGGATAAATAGGGAAGTACGGAGGAGTGAAGGAAGTAAATAAGGAATGTAGTAAGGGTGAATTATGAATGGTATAGAGGCTGAAAAGACAGAGAGTGGTGATAAGAAGGCACTCAGAAGGCGGATGTTATTGAGCTATAGACTTTGGAAAAGTAGGAGAATTGGATCTGCTGGCAGACTGCAGGCGCAGGATCCTCGGACTCACCGGGTTCTATAGTGTGTGTCTAGGTGCTGTGAGAAAGTTTCCCAACAACTATAGAACTGGGACCCGGGGCTGCGGAGTGGACCCTCACGTGGGATCGTTAGCAGCTTTCATGCAATTCTCAGTCTGGGTTCCGCGTACCTCCCTGAACCCTTCTCACTGCTTTAAGGTGTACAATTTCTGGAATAACAGAGCTGAAAGTGCCGTTTATCCCGACTAACAGCGACTCTAGCAACTTCTGTTGCTGACATATTATTAGATATTAGGTACACCATCCATTTTGACATTAACAGCGACTTTTGCAACTATTGGACGTTAACGACAACGTTTGTGTCTATTCCAACGTCAACTACAACGTTTCCCACTATTCTGTTATCAACGACGGTTTTTGCAATAGGCTGTCGAGACTTCCTCTTCCCTGTGCTCTTCTGACAATTTTCCCAATAACTCATTTGTCTGGTTTTTGAAGCGATGTAATCCTGTCCCAGTCCTTCCAGACTTGGTGAAACGTAATGTTAGTATGGTTGCCCTGTGCTAGGGACTGGCTGTCAATTGACAGTTCTGAATTGTCCCTACAGTGGAGATTCGTTCTTTTTTGGGTGTTCAGACCCTTCACCACTTCAGGATTGTTCGCGATTTTCAGATTTCCTAAATAGTTGCCCAGATAGGTTGTTTTCAAGGTGTTCAGACCCTTCACCACTGAAAGCACATCTCCTCAATACATGTCCACTCATCACGAAATTTTTGAACGATCCTGAAGTGGTGAGCAGTTTGAACACCTTGAAAACAACCTGTCTTAACAACTGTTTAGGCAACACAAAATTTCTGAACGATCCTGAAGTGGTGAACGGTTTGAACACCTTGAAAACAACCTGTCTTGACAACTGTTTAGGCAACACGAAATTTCTGAACGAGCTTTTACCATGGGGGTATAGTACGCGAAGATGGTCTTATATTAGATGTTTCTGACCGACGAAATCCTTCTGTTGTTTATCAGTCGTGATCTGAAAGGCTTCCCCCCATTAGGATATGGGGCCCAAAGATGAGTCCCTCCTCTGGTCCAAGAGGGGAGCGGTGTCAGCGACCTGCATTCGAAAAGTGCACATCTGCTCGATGTGTTGCGGTCGGGATCGCTTCCAGTCCCCGATTAGGATGATATGTCTGTGTCCGGGAAGGCATCCTTTTTAGAGATCGAAAGAATGGACTGTTGGGTCCATTAGGATGATATGTCTGTGTCCGGGGGGCATACTTTGAAGTTTGAAGAGATCGAAAGAATTGACTGTTGGGTCCATAGACCCTGGCAATTGTTAGTTCTGCCAAATATTTTAGATCGAGCTTGACCCACATGCGTGTTGTTCCATCCACTTCTACCTTTTTCACTTGATTCTACGCACTTGCTGTCGATATCTGGTGTCGTATGGATGTCCCTGCTGATCCGCCGGGGCGTCGAATAACCGCTTTTGGTGTGCTTCAACAATCTTTCGACCTTCTTTCGCTTCCTCATGTTCATCGCTCTTTGTCAGGTGAGATTCCTGGCAGCAAACTATGTATAGAGAATGGTTTCCGAATCAACGGAAATTAGACCAAAAAATTGTCCAGTTGGTAGGCTGGTCTATAATGGAGGCTAGACCGTAGACTGTTGTGGACGCTATAGTAAGCTCCAGTGGTCTTTTAACTTCCCTGCTGATTTCCTCACAGTTGGTAAATATTCTTCATTTGCAAGTTGCTTGTAGTCTTTCCTGTCCTTGGTGTTGCCGTACTGATGTGTGGTTCGTCCTTGATCAATAGCCCAAGGGTTGGATCTTGCCTTGGGATTCTCTTTTAGGCCCCTGAGCAAGAATGACGTGGATAGATGAAGAAGCGGATTGAACGGGCGAATGGCTTTGAGGAACCAAACTGTAGATGAAATGAAGGATTTGTGGATCTCATTGCACTGCAACAGGTCCAACACGAATGCATACAAGCAATAAAGATCAGTGAACAATGCACATTGTTTGTAAAGCACTGCAGAACGATGAGGTACGCTCATCCTTTTCAGAACCCTCCGGTGTCCTTCGATCTGATCCTGCTCCATAGCTGATTCACCAAGGCACTGATGATGACATCGCTTGTTGTGTTCTTTCCTCTTCTCATTGTGTTGGCTGGCTGACACTTCACCATGGGCAGCATCTCCACCAAGCAATCATGAGGATGCCTGATCAGTACAACACAGTCGTTGGAGAAAGAGGAATTAAGGTGCGTGACTATTTCATGACACTGATCATTATGACATCTCCATTTTCCTCTGTGCTTGCCTGGATCTCGATCGGTTTCTTGGGCCAAACAGATTTCCATCACGGAGTTCTGGAGGGCAAAACTCAAACGGTTTGCCTGCCTGTCTGCACTATATGCAGTGGCAGGCTCTGGTATGAAGTGGCTGTGTGTCTACCATGGGGGCGGGCCGGGGGTACGCATGGGTCATGGGAGGGGTTCGGGATGAATTGGTGGTGGATGCAAAAATGAAGATGTTGCCAGAAAACTTTCCATCATAATATCCAGGGAAAAGTGACTGTCACATGTGGTAATAAAAGAACACAGTCCTCTGAATATGAAGCTTTTCGCATGATGTCTTCTTCAAATCTTGGGTCAAGTTCCCCTTCAGTAAAGTTGACGTAGCCCGTTTTCTGGACTCTTGTTTGTATGGCAGCTTAGTGGAGGAGAGAAACAACGGGTGGCCATTGCACGTGCATTTCTCAAAGTGAGTGAACAACTCTCTCTCTCTCTCTCTCTCTCTCTCTCTCTCTCTCTCTCTCTCTCTCTCTCTCTCTCTCTCTCTCTC